ATAAATTGTTATTTCCCATCAAAATGATAAACAATTAAATTGAATAGCAATTTAAATAAATCTAAAATTTTAAGTTCAAAAATAATTTCCCAAATGATGTGAGAATAGCACGTAATGTATGAATGGATGGCAAACACGTGAAACCCATTGACAGTAAACATGACGTGAAATGTGTTGACATTTACCACAAGACATGTCTTCAACTGATCCGCAGGTGATTCGCGCCAAACCATTGGACGACAGAAAACGGGTGAACGTTTCGGTCAAAAGTCAAATCCCGACCGAAATACTGGACAACAAAGAGCTGAACGCAAGGATCAGTTCAAGCCTTCCTCCTAACTATAACTTTGAATTTCATAAAACCATTTGGAGGTTGAGGTCGTCGGGGGCTAAGAGGGTTGCCCTCCAGTTCCCCGAAGGACTCTTCGTGTTCGCCATCACTATCGCTGACATCATCGAAGACTTCACTGAATGTGATGTCATTATAATGGGAGGTATTCGTAGACAACCATTGGATCCATTGATTGCAGCACTAATTGATTGTCTCTTTTTATGGTCAGACGTGACGTACGGCTCGTGTTGTATCGACGACTTGACCGCAAACGCCATGAGCTGTGACTTCATTGTGCACTTCGGACACTCATGTCTGGTGCCCGTCAACCATATGGTCAATGGGATCAAAGTGTTGTACGTCTTCGTGGACATCAAAATAGATTTGTGGCATTTCATCGAAACCATTGCACAGAACTTCAACCCACAGACCCATTACCTGTCCATCTCTGGAACCGTTCAGTTCGTGTCGTCTATGCATTCGGCGGCCAAAGAGCTGCGCGAAAGACACGGCTTTCGTGTTTTGACGCCACAGTCGAAGCCGTTATCTCCGGGGGAAGTGTTGGGATGCACTGCACCACAACTGCCCCCAGAAGTCAATACTATTGTCTTCTTAGCCGACGGGCGCTTCCATTTGGAGGCCATAATGATCGCCAATCCCACAGTCGATGCATTCAAATACAATCCGTACAACAAAGAGATTACACAAGAGTTTTACGACACAAACAAAATGATGTCTTTCCGGAGAAACGCTATTAGAGAGACGACCAAAGTTTGCAACGATTCCGGGGTTTTCGGTGTTATTTTGGGGACATTAGGCCGACAGGGAAACCCTCGTGTCCTTCACAACTTGATTACAAATATCAATAAATATACCAAATGTCAGACAATTAGCGTATTATTGCCTGAAATTAAGGCCGAAGTGTTGGGTCTGTTTGAAGAGGTGGACGCATGGGTTCAGATCGCATGCCCCCGACTTAGCATCGATTGGGGCACTAATTTCACGTCTAAACCACTTCTCACTCCTTTTGAATTGAATGTCTCTCTCAATGCGGTCACCGATAACTACAAGGGTTTGACAAATGGTTATGCAATGGACTTCTATTCCACTCAATCAGCGGGCAATTGGACTCCTAATCATAAATGTCACCAAAATTGTAGTTGTGATCAAAATAAATAATTATTTTTATTACCAATTTGCAATAAATTATTTAATTACCGTATATGAAATTAATACAAGTATTATTTAAATGGAAAATGTAAGCATCGTATATAAGTTTAATTGAAAAAGATTTGCATAATTTGTCACTAATAGTGAAATAGTTTCTTAAATGGAGAATAGAGAGCATTTGAGAGCCTTTTAAATAGTATACAATAGTTGTGTATAAACTTAGGACCTAGAATTTAAACGAAATTAAATTACTTGTAAATATAATGATAATATTTTATAAAATAAAATTACGAACACTTTAAATGTAATTAAATATATTATAAATGTTTTCTTTAAATAGGATTTTGCGGTCTTTTATACGTAGAGAGAAGTCTCTCCTTAACTGTCGTTTTAATCTAAATTATTTATAAAATTAATTATTATTTATTGAAGACTGCGATAATTTAATGTAATTATCGCCTAATATCCTGATTATGTAAAGTCAGATTGAAACAAATAATTTAATTTATGATTAATAAATAACAAAAATAATATGTTTTCCTTAATATAAAGTCACGATTTGGTGGCTTTTTTAATAACTCGAAAATATTTTTATTAATAAAATAAAGAATTCGTTGCTTTAATGGAGAGAAGATGTGATGCCTATAGTGTTTGTCCTCCAAAACCGGATGTCTTATCTGTTTGGACCGTAAGTTAAACATCCATTGAATATAAACTCACTTATTGTTGACTATATTTGTTCATAAGTTAAGTAAGAAAAAAGTTTTTACAGATTTTTGTATTAAATTAAAATCAATGATGAGATCAGAAGAGATTGTGGAGAATAACCGAAGGATATGTGACATCAACTCAGAGGCAAGGAATCAAGAAATGTTGTCTTTTCACTAATTTCATACAAATTCCTCACTAATTGTAAAGAAATATTACTTCGTTTTCTTTATTTTATAATTTACGACTTCAATGGTTAGTGTTTTGCCTGTTTATTAAGGTCTCATTTACATTATTAAAGGGTTATACTGTATATCATATCAAATATTTAAATTTATAAATTTATAAATAGATTTGTTTATAAGATTGTCTGTTTATAATATTGTAAATAATTAATGGCATTTCAGTCTTGTTTTGTTTAAAATATTTCAACATTTATAATATGTTTCCAATTTTTGTTGCAATTCTCAACAATTTATGCTACTGTATAGTATTTATGCTACCGATATATTTGTCTAAAATATTGTCAAAAGCAGACTTAAACTGTTTCTTTAAGATTAACAAATGTGAGCATAAGTCTAAACCCTGTTTTTACAATTCTTGAAATTCTATGCAAAATAGATCCAAAGGGATTATGTAAGAAAAATCAATAAAAAAGGATCCGTTAATACACTAAATATTTATAATACAAAGTAATAACAGTTTTTCAAAAAATTTTTGCTATTCTTTTAACTTTCTGTTAAATTCGTAATTTTAGGCAACTTTTGACTTAAGTTTTTACTGCTTATGAACTTTTAGCCATCAGTTCAACCGTCAGTTTAATAATGTTTTATATTTATGAAAATTAGCGAAAAAATAATAAAAATAAATTTTACTTAAATATAAGCGAAACGAAGAATTGAAGTCAAGAATAGCCTGAGGTTTGCAAGACTTGAAGAGACAGTTTGAGTGGCGAAGGCTTACAGTTGTCTATAATTCTAGTTTAATATAAATTAATTACCAGTACTAGTACTCGGAGTACCAAATAAAGTGTAGTCCCTATCAAGAGAAGCGCACCAATGTTTTGCGGCATTTATTCGCCTCATTTGAATGGAAACATTCATTGAGTTTGAGTTCCCATGAATTCATTTCAACCAATATATCGTCCGAAATGCAAAGATTATCACAAAAAAGTGTTTCAATAATTTTCAAGCCTGGGGTCACATCTCTCGAGGGCTGAGAGACTTGTGAGACATAACACAAACTGTTTGCTTTGAACTCATATTAAAAGTAGCATTTGAATAAAGTTTGTCCGCAAAAGTCATTCACATTCACTTTTATTAAAATTTAATTATTAATAATATAATATATAATTAAAGTTTTATAATACAAATACATCACAATTACTAATATATGATGTACTAATCAATTGTACATTTGTTTGGTTCATACAATCGGTTTATAATTACAATAAAAAATCACTTATATTTTAACTCAAATTAAATAAAATCTGTTTAAAATAATATTTATATATATAGAGAGAGCGGTTTGACATTTGAATGAAGAATCGATACAATAAATCGTATTTACATTACATTTCTGTATTTGGAGTGCATTTCAATGTCTTTACATTTGCAAATAAATGCATTCATAAAAGTTGAGTTTATTATCGTTTTATTAATATACTGTATAAAAGCTTAGTTTGCGTTCAAATCTCAAATAATGAATACCTATCAATAAAATGAAATACAATTTTATATAATTCTTGCAAAAAACCATAACATTTGCAAATAAAAGCTAATAAATTAGATGTAAAACTCGTATTTTCGTTGTAAATCAACATTTTTATCTAAAATTGTTTTATATATTAATTATCTCTTATATCGATATGTGATCTTATTTTAAAAGTTAATTAAAAAGCAATAAAAACAAAACTCGAAGCAATTGATTGTAAATCAGATGTAAACCCTGTCCTCTTTTTGGCATTCAATTGCTTTCTAATGAAACAATTTTGCGTCAATTAATTCATAATTGATTTCTTTTAGATTTCGCGTCATTTTTGTGCATCTCTTTTGTGACACACTTTTAGAAATAAATAATTTTATATATATTTCGTTAAAATAATAAAAAACTCTAAAATTAACAAAAAATCACAGAATTGTCTCATTTATGAAACACCGAATGAATGATGAGATGATATTCAGTGATGAGTTGGTGGTGTGGGGGAAGTGGTGGTGATGTGGATGTCGTGGAAGAGGTGGTCATGAATGTGATGGTAGTTGTTGTGAGCAAATGAAGCGAAACATGAGACGAACACATCGTTTGTATTCAAGTTCTCCACATATTCTCGGTTTTGGATTAAGTTTTGACTTAGTTTTGGATTATTATAAAGAATTTCTTCCCATAGAAACGGAAGCACTAAATATACAATTAAAGTGTTTCTAATAAAAACATAACATTATTTTCCGCTAATATATTCATAAAATCGTTAATTCATTGCATAAAGTATTGTATAATTTGATGCATAGTTTACTTTTAATCATAGTTTTGGTTGAATTAAAAACAGAAAGTCATTGAAAACTGGAGTTTGTTTATCCTGTCGGTGGAGAACACACTTGAATTCAGCTCCCATTCCACTGTTCGAAGTCATAGTTCGCTAATGTCTTCGTAATCAGAATCATACGAGTCACTAGTGTCGAGAAACCTATGGTTGAGCTGCCGGTGCCCTACAAATAGATCTTCTTCACCTTCTGAATGGGTTTGTTCTCTACCGACAGATTCAAGTTTTTTGAATTCTTATGTGTCGTTAGAACTAAGTTTATGGGTTTGTTATTCACCGGCGCCTGTGTCTGGAATGTGTCACTAGAGGTCAACCGCCCGTCCAAGTACTGGTGCGGGTCGTCATATGGCGAACAAATATTGGGGTCTTCTTTGCGACAGCGCCGGGAGAATATGTAGCCTAAGATGAAGCCCAGCACTAGCGATGTGATGACACTTGTGGTCACCGCCAGAGCGAACGACTCACCGCTATATATGGGTGTCTGCTCTGTGGCCGCCAAGTCAGAGGGCGTGTCGTCCCCCGGGACGCGAGGGTTCACGACGTGAGGGTCCGAATAGGGAGGCGTTCTGTTGGTGCTCTCAGTGGGTGGGGGCCGACCGTCAGGACAGCGTGGATCCCATCCGTCCTCGACATTCTGGACAAAATTGTCGCGATTCCAGAACCGGGATCTACTACTAGTGCACTGCTGTCGCGCCAAATCAAACGCACAGTACGGGTCCTGAAGGGCCACACATTCACCGCACGTTTTGGCCAAACAGTGGAACAGTTTTATTGATTTGATTTCGTTGTTGGAAACGACCAAAAGCTTCGCCTCATAGAAGGTGTGGTAAACCAATAGATTGGTGATCGCAGTGCCGACGGGAAACACTGACACCTCTTCGATCACCACCGGAACGACTGAGTTGTGGTAGTGATGACCACTGAGTGCACCGCTGGCAGAGTTGATCGCTTTGAGGACACGGCCGTCATCGGTGGCAATGAAGAGCACATCAAATGTCTTTCCGGAAGCGGTTTCTATTTGTGGGTCGACAGCGATGTGAGTGAATCGGTATTTAAAGCTGGTTTGCACGACAACTGGTGCGCCCCAGAAGGCCGGCACAGACATGTCCATCAGAGTGTGTTCCTTATGGAAATTGAGTGTCATATCAGGTAATTGTCGCGAATCGTTCACACAGAGACCAGGTCTGGGTTCGGGCACTTTCGAGGTCTGCACCGGTAGCCAATTCGAGTCAATAGCCTCTTGGCCTTTGAAGGGACCGTCAAATGCTTTGTATATGTCATCCATTCTGAACGCACAGACAGCGGAACCACTAATACTGTTGGAAGGAGTGGTGAAGACTCCGTAAACGAGTTGTGCGTTGTGTCCGCCGTATATGCCTTTGACGAGTGATGTGGTCGCCTGGATCTCATTGAAATAGAAGGGAAACTCCCCGGGAATGGAGCAGTTGAGGCGGGCCTTAGCATAGGTGGTCCAGTGGTTGCGGAACTTATGGGGTCCGCCCTTGTCTTTGGAGCAAACTCTGGCCACTCGCGAGTATATGGCTTTCCCGCAGTTTATGTACTCGACTGAGGTTTCCCTGAAGAAGAAGTAGACGTGTTGGTTGTGGGGGAAGGAGTTCACAAAACTCGGCGCTAAACACAACAACAAAATAAATCCATTCAATGTTTTGCTTATTATTATGCTATTTGTATGCGTTTGTAGAGCAAGTGATAGAGTCATACCATTTAGATGCTTAGGATTAAACTGTTCTGTCCTTAAAGGTGATCGATATATGAGAGGGTCGGCGCCGTTAAAGCCGGCGACTGTCGCCACATACAGGTTCTCCTCGAAGAAGGTGGCGGTCGACAAGTGTGTCGGATCGTAGGGACACAACCCTTCGCCCGACTGTTCGTTCACTAATTCAAACTCTAAACTGTTTTCTAAATATTGTCTACATTTTGGTTTGTATGCATTGGTGCCGCAGACAAAGAGTCCGTTTGCAGATCTCTTGGACAGGACTCGGATGTAGTTCTGACACAATTCGTCTGATTTTCCCTTATATTTACACATTTTTATGTCATCGTCAGTACTATACCACTGGAGTCTCTGTTAATTAAAGTTTAATCAAATACACGACATTAGAGATATTATAGAAATATTTGTGATTAAAGGATCACTTAAAGCATAGGTCTGTCCAGAACCAGAGGTTTTCATAAATATTGCAAATAATTAATACTTTTTTGTCGGCAAAGACAGGGGTGAGCCTTAAACATGTTTCGCAAGAAAATAAGAAAAAATAATATAAATTATGATTTGAAAAGACATTTGTGAGAGAAGTCATGAAGTCTTGGCCATCACTCGAATGAAACAAATCGATTGACAGAAGAAATGCTCAGTTTATGAGATAAGAAGTAATGCAATGAAATGAAAGTTATTTAAAACATAGAGAAATATATTTTATTTATAGTCAAGTCATAAGTCATACGACAATGAAATGTTAAAGCATTCACTCATTTATCACAGGTTTTGGAGTTTAGATTTAATCTCTAAAACCAATTCTATTTGAGTTACATTTTCTCTAACTTTTTGCTCATTTAATAAGGATTTGCGGTTTTAAAATCCTCTCCCTTTTAGGCTAACGCCGAGTATGACTGTACAATAGTTATGCTGTACGGCACTGGCACTGGTAATACTGGCACAGGCCTTATGCACATAATCCTAAATCCCTTAAAAAAGTGCGAAAAATGAGAGACTTTATGAGCGTTTGGCAGAGAATAACGTTTAACTCGAAATAAAAATCGCGAAAATAAATGGTTAAACGACTCGTACAGTCATTACTAATACACCGGTTATATGAACTAAAATGATAATAAATAAGAGAACCAGTAGTTAGTCAGTCATGTGTTAGTGTTGATCACACTCTTGTCTAATACATATTCCCAGCATTTTATGGTTTGGTTCAGAGCCTAACAAAAGGACTGCAGGACTGAATGTCGGTGCTGTGAGTGGTGGCGAGTGTGAGAGTCGAGAGCACTGGCATCACATCAGAGATCGCAGTGGTGCTCAACGACTGGTCCTTTACTTCTGGTACATTTGGGCCTAAAGTCAGTCATAAACTTGAAAAGTACGGTAATTATGAGAATGAGAACCACATGAGAGCGTAACCCCTATTTGACATCCATTTATATTCTGTGCGATGTGTGGCCACACATTCACAGTCCAGTCCATCACATGCTATAAATCATTTCATTTCAATTCAGTCGTCAATACATTTTGTTTGCTTTCAATCAATAGTTTAGACTCAGATCCCAATGTAAGCGAATATGAGATGTTATACAAGAATAGTGTTATAATATGATAGTATACTATACTATACACTACTATATAATATATATATTCTATAGAAATAAATCTCAATTTTGAATCGTTTCCTACAAATAGTGATCACAACTCGAAGGAAACAATGATTTTCGAGTCAAATACGGAAATTGCTTTTGAATACAACGACTCTCTAAGACACAAATTGTCATATCTTTTGCTCGCATTAAATTGTATTATATTATATGAGTTCAAATCAATTTAAACTACTGTTTGGCACTAAACATATCACAGCCCCTTAACATTTAATTAGTTTAAAAACTACTGTCGACTCTATTAAAATGTATTAAATGATTGAAATTAAGTTTAATTACGGAGTGAATAGTCATATATTTAGTGCAAATAAATGTGTTTGTGATCACAACTCACATCAATATAATAATGGCTTTCTTTTGTCTTTTGTTTGAACACAACAACCAAAATGTGGATAAATAGAGGCTGAACACCATATATACACTGTATTCACTCCATTGTATTGAATCGCATAGTATTGGCCATAATATATAATATATTGAGATTAATGGATAGCATATGAATGAGAAAAGGCCAACAAATTCCTAAACAAAAGTTAGAGACAAATGAAATATTGGGATCAATTCAAAGGAGACACCATATGAAATGAGCAGAGACATAGACAACATAGACATGCCATTTTAGGGTTAACTCACATTTATCTGGATATTACTGCATCCATGTACTGTATATTCAAATGAGTTAACAATATATTGTGAATAAATGGGAATATAGTGTAAAATATAATGGATTAACTGTAAGACTGCATTGAAATGACTGTACAGTACTGTTCAGTATATAGTGTACACCACTTATGACCGACTCTACAATAAGTGAATTCAATATTTATGTCTTTGATTATCTGCAGGAAACCATCAAAATAGAGACAAAAGATAAGTAAATTGCAATCAATTATCGATGACTTGACTGACAGTTGAATGAATTGGCAAATAATTGAATGACAAAAACTACTTAAATCTTATTTCCAGTATTAAGTTATGATTTGTAATGAGATTTAGTGATAATTACTAATAAGTTGTTCAATTAGATTACAAATCACTCTTTACTCTCATTAGTGATAATTTGGATTTTCGGTCAGCACTGGGAGGACTGGTAGCATATGATGCGTAACCAATGCATGAGAGCCACGAAATGGTAATCATATAATATATTGAAAGAAAAACTAACTAAAGAATACTATTATTATAATTGACTGAAGATTAGTCTTAAATGACTTTCCATTATATGTTATAACAGTTTAAGAGTTTTGAATAAATTAAACAAAAGTCTGAAATGAATTCTTCGCTAAGAAAATATAACAAATGAGAAGAGCTTTGAAAAGACCAGAAAAATAATTAGACTTAATATTCATTGGGTTTGCGATTCAGTTCACAGAAACAGACACAAAAGCACTGCCATTAGACCACAACAAGTCTGTCGTATCCATCACTTCTTAGGGCTGGGGTTCAGGTGTTGAGGACTTATCTGTTTGTATAACCGTTGCCTCGAAAAGCAGATTATTTTTAGCACTTATTGCTGCCATTTGCAGCACTTGGCGATTGGGGACAGGGATGGTGTGGTTGAACCTTACGGTTAGACTGCAATCATATGGATTTACTTATGATAACTATACTAGTAATACATTATCATATTATGGTATATGAGAAACACATTCAACTAATGGATTGCAAGCCCATTGTGTGTCCCAATCGACAACCTCTGGTTCAGGGATCAAGTGTGCGATCACTCGATGGTGAGCCATAAGCCATACCTTATTCTCGTTGAGTGTCAATAGACTGATATTGTAGACGATATTAGTGGCGCCCACGAGGACAGAGTCGCCGTCCTGTTCGAGCAGTTTGAAGTGATCTTGGTCAGTCTCGTTGCCCAGAAACCTCTGCACCTCCGAGTCCTTAAGATGAGTGATCCGCTTCCGAGGGATCTGGTTCTCCATCCAGAGGGCGTCCGACAGCCTCCACGCCATCGTTAGGATCAGTAATAACCGCAACATTTCGCGAGATATTCACAGCAATTGTTGCCACCGATTAAGTCATATCCAATACACAAGACATAGGACTGTGAGATCACACCACAAGACTATCCATTAGATCCAACACACATCTCACAGACACACAGCACTTGTATTGACACAATTTGGTGGCAAACACTCAGATAATCCATTCACTCATTGGTCACTCAGACTGTGGTGTGAAATGCAATGCAATCAACTGATTATGAAATTCAATATTCACTGCAATAATAATCACTTCATTTGAATCGTTGATTGAAAGCAATGCCAAACATTTGAATCAAAAGCAAAACATCGATAACTGTATTGAGTTTGCAGTCAATGTATTCATACGTCGAGTCAGTAATACTGTAATACTGTTGGATTGGATAGCATTCATAGCACTGAGTGCTGTATACGGGAGACAAACAACTCATATATTGAGTCAAACATAACATAACAGTCAGAGTCAGAGTCAGTCCAACACTACAGTAATGGCTGTCCTTCCAGTCCAACACTACTCAAGCATTGCGTCTGCACTGCACACAAGCACTCAACGCACGCCGGCGCCCAATACGCCCTACATTTTACCAAACTTTATGATTGTAATCATACTTCGCTACAATTAAATTTATATACCTTGGTAGTATAGTTATATACCAGGCTGGTACTGTACTTATCATACAATATCAAGAATTTCATTCTTTAATCGATATTTAAAATGCATAAAAATATGCTTACACATATTATTTGTAACACAGCAACAAGCATTTAAAAAATGAACTTTAGAACTTGTTATCAAGCTTATCAAGTAATATATCAATTTCATTTATTGAACTTATGATTGTAAAAATATTTATAATTTGTACTGCTTGTCTGGTTGTATCAAGGTGACTAATGTAAATTGCAATTGTGAATGAGTTTGATTTGATTGAACGTGCGTGCAATCTATGGCCAATTGGCGGGCAAAGTGGTTGAGTGGAGCCGTATTTGTGAGACCCGTGGAGAGCATTACACATAGAGAGGAGTTGTGCGCAAATGCGATGCCTTTGAATGCATTGCAGTCTAAAGCTGTTGTGAAGTTTAAAAAATTAAAAACTCTTATGATTTGATGATTTAAAACACATTTCCATTGTATTGTGTTTTTAACGCTTTTTAGATTAAGTTTTATTATGATTTCAATTATTGTTTTTTATACTATAGTTAGACTGTTATGCAGTAACACAATAATATAGGTATTGGTGTGCTTTGAGTATTACTACTATAATAGAGTAAAAGGCATTAATATAATAGCATTGATAGCGATGTTGGGCTGAAATGAGTTGATGTAATACTGCATAGGAATAGGAGTTTAGGAGTAAAGTTAGTTAAGTATAAAAAGTTGTTTCTCACAAATCAAATCCAACGCATTATAGCTATAAATAGAGAAATTCACGACAAAAACTTGAATTTGTGTTTTGAACATTAAATTTAGAGCCTTTCGAGCATTTACTTTGAATCATAAAAACTTTTCAAGTGGTCTTGTCTTGTGATACTGAATGCAATTAATTAGAATAAATTCAATGAAATTTTGCTATCAATAGTGAAATCTTGAACACAAACTAAAGGAACTCTTAAATCAATCTTATAAACAATATTCAAGTCATTTAAAGCAGAGGTTAGAGTAAAGCCATTAAAGCTTACACTCGACTCGAGTCGAGACATCATTTGAGTAAACGATTGTTTGCTTATTCCGTTCAATACATACAATACTCCAAAAACAACACATTATTGTTAGCAATGATAAATCAAACAATAAAATTCATTTTCATGAACACCACTCATATTCGTGTGAATTATTCAACACTTTTCCCATTCAATCGTCCCATGAAATGGTCGTAAATGAGGAAAAATGTCATGTAATAAGTGTTTACATAAATTAAACACTCAAATGACATCTCATTGTATTTTAAGGACAACTAATACTTATCTGAAAAAACAAACTAAATTCTTATCGCTTTATATAATGGATGAAAAGTCTCCCAAAAAACAAAAAGAAACTCATTTTCTCTCACTGTATGTGTGCTTAATATTTATATAACACTATTTTGAGGCAAAACTCTTTCACTATTATCTGTTTGTGTGAGTCTGTGGCCTATAAAATGATTGATTGTTATCTCATAACTAATACTCAAAAGATTTATGACGAAAGTAAAGAGAGTGAGCCCTCCGTTCCCGTCGAGTGTTGTGTCCGTCCGATCGTCAATCAATATAAGCCAATTCAAGGACATTAAAGCCATGATTTGCACGTTATATCACATCTAAAGGCATACACACTACCAACCAGTGATCAACCTTTCGGATCAACTCCGAGAACTCCTAAAATAATGTTAACTTAGCTCTTAGACCATACAGAGTCTCTCTCTCTTTCTCTCTCTCTCTCTCTCTCTCTCTCTCTCCGCATTTCCTTTCAATTCAAAAAGTAGGCGTTTAGTGAATCATATTTGAGTTAATCGGTAGTCGAGTCGAGTAGTCGAAGACTGGAGCTAAGGATGAGTTGAGTCACACTTCACATCCGTTTGGAGAACCTGTAGTCCCGGTAAGACATACCTGTATTACAAGCTTCTGATTATATTTGAAGCTCGCATTAGGTCTGGGGTCTGGGGGTCTGGCAATTGATTCACTACAGGTATAATCTTAGCCACAACTGGCATTATAGCAGTTACTGTATAACTGGTATACAATATATGGTGTAATAATAATGATATGCCGTCTCACGCACTACTCAACGCACAACTGGACTCAAAGCAAAGCAAAACCAAATCCTAACCAGAAATCAAGCGAATCCTTACTATTATTCTTATATATTCTTAATTAAAATTAAACCTCTTATAGAATCAAATCTATTTATTTAGTCCATTCAATCTCTATTTCTCTCTCTATTTTTGTTGATTCGTTTAAATGATTGCAAATCTTAATGCAATTTATTTAGTATAGCTATTCGAGTGAACGCAACATTAGATTTCATATGAAGTTTGTCGAAGACATCCAAACATTCAAACTCTGCACTCAACTACTCGTCTGTAATAACATTAACAGAACCTTATTTTGATTACATCTCAAATCACTCCCTTTTCTTTGTGCTATCAATTGTCAAATGTTTTCACAAATGGCTTATTATTTTCATATATATCAGAGGATGTCCTCATGGGGTGGTTAACTATATTACTATATTCTTATGGCGCCTTAATAGACATCTAAATTTTGGTCTTTAACTTTTGAATTATTCATTTAACAATTGTATAATCTTTTAGATTGTGATTGTGATAGAGAAAGAAAGAGAGAGAGAGAGAGAGAGAGAGAGAGAGAGAAAGAGAGAGCGTCTTTTAAAAAGTTGTTGTGAATTTCATAACGTAATGAAACAATTAAAAACACAATTTTTTCTATGAATTAGTAGATTGTGGAGCAGTGCAGAGGAAATGTCAGTCCTTTCGCTTTTCTCATTAAATTGTAATAAGAGTTCACAACATATCAAGTCGTGTGATCTGATGGTAATTCTGCCCCCGGATTCGGATCCCACTTCGCATAGACCTAAACCTTTGAACTGTAATACAAGTATTGAAACAATCATTATTTGCTCCCAACTCTTGTACCCCAAAGCAAGTTTGCCCGGAATATTGGTATAATTTGCATAAGTTATACAAATTATTTGTTCAACCAACTTTTAACCAATTGATTCACCTTTTGGTTACTTATTAAAGCGATCTACGAGTCATGAAATTGGAAATTTCATTGGAAACCCCTTTCGTGAAGCAATTTGTATGTTTTGGTCAAACATTGCGGCTATTGACCGACACATTCATCACATTTGCAGTGAATAATTGCATTAAATGTTTTGACAACAAACATAACATATAAACTTATTATGCATTAAAAGCAAATGAAACGTTGGATGTGATTAATTTCACTTTTTTCCAAACCAGATAATATCTATGAAAACCTTCTAAACCTCAGAGGTTTTAATTTATCTTAATTAGTGTTTCTTTTGAGAAATTATCTTTGGATACAAAAACTTTGGGCACTTTTTATTTCCTCATATCATATATATTACACTTTATGTAGTCTCTGTGTTAATATCTAATAAGTGAAGCATTCATTTGAGACTTAATTTCTTTTTTTCATAACACTTAACATCGAGTGTCGAAAAAATATATTGAAATTATTTATTGATTTTTAAAACTGGGTTTTTATTACGCGTTCTTTTCACACAAACTTACGGTTTAATTGAAAATATTTTTCTCACAACAAATCGCTGTATATTTTGTTGTAACATTAATTAAACAAAAAATATTGGAAACTAATTTTTTTTGTTGAATTTTAAACGGGATATTATATAGGAATAATAGTTGCAATAGTTATCTAATAGGAATCTATGAGGAATGAAAAGTAAGACAACCCTGACATTAATTTCTATAATACATCAATTATAATTAGTTTGATTGTTGAGGTTATATTTTTCACGCTTTCCAATCCATTATATATTCTTAACATTACACATAAATTTGAGAATTTTTCATAAATATAACAATTATTTACAATCGATTTCATAGATAATTCATATCACAGTTTGTTAACAATGTTTTGCAGTAAGAAAACAAATTAAAACGATTTTGGTATTCATTGCAATGCATTTGGAGTGCTTTGTGTAAATCGGTTGTCAGAGCGCAAGGCTTTCCTAAAATAACAAATGATTTAATCAATTAAATTCACAGTTAAGAAGCATTTTTGAAAAATATTTCCAAACCATTCATTAACATGATTTCAGTGAAATTGATTTATTAAGAATTCTCAATGAACTCCAGTGTCCTATTCTCTCCCCAAATGTTTATAAATTAGAAAATATATTTTGCAAAACTTTATATATTTTCAATCAATTAATCAAAAAAACCATTTTCTATTTTGTAATATTTAATTAAGGATATTAGTAATTAAAAATACTGTATTTTTT